ACACAATATCATATTATTGAAATTTTTATAAAAAAAAATGTATAAGCTGTATAAATATAAAAAATAGTTTTTGTAGAATTACGTTGTTGAAAATTAAGTATTGTTTGAAGTTACGGTTCCCAAAAAATCTCTGTTGTGGACTTACGGTGCTGTTTTATAAAATGGTGGTTTAAGGTCCGTGAAGTTAGCGGAAAAATGTGAGCACTAATTTCCGCTATACCACCACTATTTAGTGCTCAATTAGTGCTATACAACCGTTGCGTTTTAAAAATTAGTGCTATACCCAGTAAAAAGTTACAGGGGGGCTTACCTTTCTCCGCTAACTTCACGTAGCGGGTTCAACACCAGCACCAAAATCCGCTATAGCACCAAATTTTAGTGCTGAATTAGTGCTATTCGATGGTACCGTTTTCAAAATTAGTGCTATGTTTTCCTAAGAGTTATGCGATTTTCCGCATTTCGTCCCAGCGGGTGCACCTTCAGCACCAAAATCCGTTATAGCACCAAAATTTAGTGCTGAATTAGTGCTATTCGATGGTACCGTTTTCAAAATTAGTGCTATGTTTCCCTTCGAGTTATGTGATTTTCCGTATTTCGACCCAGCGGGTGCACCTTTAGCACCAAAATCCGCTATAGCACCAAAATTAAGTGCTCAATTAGTGCTAATCAGCGGAACTGTTTCCAAAATTAGTGCTGTAGTCAGTCAAAAGTTACAGCGGGGCTTACCTTTCTCCGCTAACTTCACGTAGCGGGTTCAACGCCAGCACCAAAATCCGCTATAGCACCAAATTTTAGTGCTGAATTAGTGCTATTCGATGGTACCGTTTTCAAAATTAGTGCTATGTTTTTCCAAAGAGTTATGCGATTTTCCGCATTTCGTCCCAGCGGGTGCACCTTCAGCACCAAAATCCGCTATAGCACCAAAATTAAGTGCTGAATTAGTGCTAAACAACGGGACTGTTTCCAAAATTAGTGCTATGTTTTCCTAAGAGTTATGCGATTTTCCGCATTTCGTCCCAGCGGGTGCACCTTTGAATGAAAAATATTAAAAATACAGATTCACAATTTTTTTTTATATGCATTTAAAGATCAAATTTTGACACAATTTATCAAAATCTCGAAAATTATCAATCATTGTAATTATTTAATTATAAAATGTTCAGTTTTTATAGCTACGGATTGAAAATTTAAAACAAGATTCCATGTATGTAGTTAATTCTGTTACCATAAAATCTAAAAAATACACAAGCACAGTATATTTTTATCGTCATTTTAAGTTCAAATTTGGACGAAATTACATATTAAAAAACCTAGAATAACTATTATAGTTATTTTGTTGTGATTGTATAATATTATTCGTGGGTACTTGAAATTTCTAAAGTTTACTATTCTATATCTATGATAGTATCACGGTTTGTTGTTGATGTATAACGCATTATAAGTACCTAATGGATATTGTCATATGATTAATTTGGAATTTATTATAGGTACCTATTATAGGTCAATTTTTTTTAATACCATAGATAAGTATATATTATGTCTTAAACCTAGACTGACATACCGTCTCCGCTCATAATCGTGTTTCTTATACAATGATATTATATCATTGAATTCAAATTTAATACCATCCATTATACAACCAACCACTTATAACCTACAGTACAGCAGAGCACCTTTTTTTTTTATTAGCTCCTAAAGAAGGAACAAGAATCACCACAGAACAGCTTGCGATTGAATACTCTGAATACAGAAAAATTACTCTGAAAATACATTCAGTTTCCAATTTTATTAGTTTTTTTTTCAATAAATATCAATACAATTTTATCTTTTGGGCCAAAAAGTGTAAAAATGTAATACAAGGCTCCTGATATATTGTAAAAATAGCAGTTGAAAAATATTAAAAATACATATGCACAATTTTTTTTATAAGTATTTAAAATTCGAATTTTGACAAAATTATCAAATTTAAAATTGAATAATTATTTTGTAGTTAAAAATGTATAAAATGTTCAACTTTTATATCTGAGGATTGAAAATTTAAAACAAGATTCCACGTGAGTAGTTTATTCTGTTACCGAAAAATCTAAATATACATAAGCACAGTTTATTTTTATTGTCATTTTAAGTTCAAATTTGGATGAAATTACATTTTAAAAAACCTAGAATAACTATTTTAGTTATTTTGTTGTGATTGTATAATATTATTCGTGGGTACTTGAAACTTCTAGTGTATACTACTATATTATATCTATGATAGTAATATAATATAGCGGTTTGTTATCGGTGTCTAACTATTATAAAGTATATGTACTTATTAAGTACTTTATGGATATTGTGATATGGTTAATTTGTATATTAAACTAGTTTGTATTAAAAAACATTCACAACCATGTACTTGGATAAGCTTTCTTCGGTAAAATGTTTACGGATTGGACAATATTTTTGTACTAAGAAAATGATATTTTTACATCCACGGAAGTTAGTGGGGCGGACTGACGAACAATTTTTAATGTAGTATCTACGCATTATGAATATACATATTTTAATCTATAGATAGGTAGTAATGGTGCTTTTATAAAAATTAAATTAACTGACCATACCAAATACCTACTCCATAAAGTATTTAGTGATATCGATAAAATATAACGCCGATAGTAAAACCCATTATAAATAATTGACAGATGACAATGCACATGTATTCAGAAAATCTTATCGAATTGTACCATTAAGGGGATTGGAAGCAGCGATTTTCTGTCTTTATCTAACACACGTGCAACATAGGCTTATAGACGTGTTCTATTTCCAACGTACCGATTAATCTAATGAAGTGATACGGATTCTGCAAACAGATTTGAATTTGTCGTCAAGTCTACTTGAAATTGACTTTCCCACATTTTTGATATTATCCCCCAAATTCCTAAAAATGTCATATTAAAAATAGTAATTAAAAAATTTACATATTTCAACTTTTGGAGAAGTTTAAATCAAAAAATCAAAAATGTGGGAAAGTCGATCTCAAGTAGACTTGACGACAAATTCAAATCTGTTTTCAGAATTCGTATCGCTTCATTAGATTAATCGGTACGTTGGAAATAGAACACGTCTATAATCCTATGTTGCACGTGTGTTAGATAAAGACAGAAAATCGTCGCTTCCAATCCCCTTAATACGTATGTCATGTATAAAACTATCAAATCAATTAAAAATTAAACACAATAATGAATAGAGTAATTTATAAGTGAAAAAGGCAAAAAGACAAAAAAAAATAAAAATACGTTTATCATCTTACATATTAAATGACACATATTTTTGTATAAAGATTATTTATCTATTATTATTATTTAAAAATATGCTTTTGCCTTCAAATCCAAACCCTAATCATTAAAGACTAAAATAGACACGTATTACCGTTCTTTCATCACTGTACCCTATACTAAAGTTCGACAGACGACGGTTTCTTAGAATAGGTATTTACTAAATTAGACATATTCATAGATAAAAATTATAAATAACAGAGAAGGAATTTTTATATTTGAAAAATCCAAATTATTAAAATTCTTAGGTGGTGCAATTGCACCAAATGGCCCACCCTAAGGGCATGACTGAGACATGCAGTTAAAAAAATCCCAGATGAGGATAATAGCAAGAGAAAATAAGGTCAAGAGAAAATCCCGTTTTCTCAAGTTGGGGAAGATCTACAAAATTTAATTGCGGTTGCAAAAAATTGTAAAAAATAAAGTACATAATACTGTACGAATTAAATTTTGATTTGATAATAATTGGTCATTGGCAGAGTCAGGGTAATTTTACCGCAGCACGGACATGGAAAAATCGCGTTTTCTCGTGTTAGGGGAGTTGTACAAAATTTAATTTTGGTTGTATATAATTGTACAAAATAAAGTACATAGTACAGGTTAATTTTGATATTCAGTTTCAAACTTGGCAGTGATGGGGTAACGGTGCTCAATGATTTCTGTTTGTAAAATTATATTTAAGAAATGCTTATGATCCCGCTAAGATGAAAAACGGAGATGACTTTGGTTTGGAGGTAGCACCAATTATTATTTTTGTATATCCTGATAGCAGCTATAGTACAACTAATATGACTCGAATAAAGTTAGCTTTATTTTGTATGGTATAATTAAATACAAAACAAATTTAATAAAAACAAATTATTGAGAATAAAAGTTATAAAACACAATATTCAATTCAAATTAAAACTAAAAAATAATTTAAGGAATAAAATAATAAACACATCATTACTCAGAAGAAAATTTAGAATAATTTTGAAAACGGTAGCATCGAATAGCACTAATTCAGCACTAAATTTCGACGCTATAACGGATTTTGGTGCTGGTGTTGAACGCGCTGGGACGAAATGCGGAAAATCCCATAACTCGAAGGAAAACATAGCACTAATTTAGAAAACAGTACCATCGAATAGCACTAATTCAGAACTTATATTTTGGTGCTATATAGCGGATTTTGGTGCTGAAGGTGCACCCGCTGGGACGAAATGCGGAAAATCGCATAACTCTTAGGAAAACATAGCACTAATTTTGGAAACCGTTCCGTTGTTTAGCACTAATTTAGCACTTAATTTTGGTGCTATGGCGGATTTTGGTGCTGAAGGTGCACCCGCTGGGACGAAATGCGGAAAATCGCATAACTCTTAGGAAAACATAGCACTAATTTTGGAAACCGTTCCGTTGTTTAGCACTAATTTAGCACTTAATTTTGGTGCTATGGCGGATTTTGGTGCTGAAGGTGCACCCGCTGGGACGAAATGCGGAAAATCGCATAACTCTTAGGAAAACATAGCACTAATTTTGAAAACGGTACCATCGAATAGCACTAATTCAGCACTAAATTTTGGTGCTATAACGGATTTTGGTGCTGAAGGTGCACCCGCTGGGACGAAATGCGGAAAATCGCATAACTCTTAGGAAAACATAGCACTAATTTTGAAAACGGTACCATCGAATAGCACTAATTCAGCACTAAAATTTGGTGCTATAGCGGATTTTGGTGCTGGCGTTGAACCCGCTACGTGAAGTTAGCGCAGAAAGGTAAGACCCCTGTAACTTTTGACTGACTACAGCACTAATTTTGGAAACAGTTCCGTTGATTAGCACAAATTGAGCACTTAATTTTGGTGCTATAGCGGATTTTGGTGCTGAAGGTGCACCCGCTGGGACGAAATACGGAAAATCGCATAACTCTTTGGAAAACATAGCACTAATTTTGAAAACGGTACCATCGAGTAGCACTAATTCAGCACTAAAATTTGGTGCTATAGCGGATTTTGGTGCTGGCGTTGAACCCGCTACGTAAAGTTAGCGGAGAAAGGTAAGCCCCCTGTAACTTTTGACTGACTACAGCACTAATTTTGGAAACAGTTCCGTTGATTAGCACTAATTGAGCACTTAATTTTGGTGCTATAGCGGATTTTGGTGCTGAAGGTGCACCCGCTGGGACGAAATGCGGAAAATCGCATAACTCTTAGGAAAACATAGCACTAATTTTGGAAACAGTCCCGTTGTTTAGCACTAATTCAGCACTTAATTTTGGTGCTATAGCGGATTTTGGTGCTGAAGGTGCACCCGCTGGGACGAAATGCGGAAAATCGCATAACTCTTTGGAAAAACATAGCACTAATTTTGAAAACGGTACCATCGAATAGCACTAATTCAGCACTAAATTTTGGTGCTATAACGGATTTTGGTGCTGAAGGTGCACCCGCTGGGACGAAATGCGGAAAATCGCATAACTCTTAGGAAAACATAGCACTAATTTTGAAAACGGTACCATCGAATAGCACTAATTCAGCACTAAAATTTGGTGCTATAGCGGATTTTGGTGCTGGTGTTGAACCCGCTACGTGAAGTTAGCGGAGAAAGGTAAGCCCCCCTGTAACTTTTTACTGGGTATAGCACTAATTTTTAAAACGCAACGGTTGTATAGCACTAATTGAGCACTAAATAGTGGTGGTATAGCGGAAATTAGTGCTCACATTTTTCCGCTAACTTCACGGACCTTTTTAAATGAGTCCCTTATTTGATCAAAACTTAATTACTGCTGCTCATTGATTTAGTAAAATACGAATCCAGTAATACATCTTAAATTGGACTATTTTACGTGATAAATAACTTTGGTATTGAAATTACCGTAATCGGTTACTTTAGTTCAAGTCGTTTAAGAGTTATCTTTAACCTAGCCAGCATACCTCCACTGGATATAATAATACAACTTCTAACATTAAAATTGGAATTAAGACTAGATAGTATCATATTCTCTATTTACTTCATCATATAATGTCCAAGAATTATATCAACTACTTCAAGAGGACAATTATTTATAAATCCCCTTAATTCAGTTAATCACCACTAAGATAGAACTTTACGGTAGACTCAACAACTTCCTGACTTTATAAACAATACTAGTATTACCTAATTCGAGACAACCTCAGTGAAAATATTATGTTCATAAACGCAATTAAAATCCAGAATAATTACGGAGTCTCTGTCATTTTGAATTGTTTATTGCAGCGCCTTGCGCCTGAATTAATAAGAACTCGTAACACCCTTAAAAACCCTTAAAATATAAAATACCCGAAACCTATATAAGCCTAGTGTTTCTATTTTCAAAACACCAGAATTAACAAAAACCCGAATAAAACTTTCTGGTTAACTAGAAACCCGAATGATTTTTATTTAACAACCTTCATGTGATTATCATTTTGTATGAATTTTATGTAGTTATTTCGATTTTTTAGTTGATTATTTCTTTAATAATAACAATATTAGGACATTTAATAACCAATTGGAGGTAAATACTATAAATATTTTCTTAAAATAATTAAATCCGATTCTATCTTTCGGTTCTGATTAAACTGAAATTCAGATATTGAATTGTTTTAATTATAATTAATTACTTGCTTAGTATAGAATAAATTCAAACTACAAATATAGCCTGCAACAGAAATATAAAACATTGACATGTTGACAACTTGACGTAATTCCGATGGTCGGGTCTGGTCTGGTGTCAACAACTAAACTATGTATTTTCCGCGACCAAACACTGTTAATATAATTTATAGTATTTGCAGTGACAATGCTACGGGGTTACTAATGTTTAGGTTGTTTTTTGTGATAGGTGGGAAGGTGGCTACACAATTAAAATTAAAAAAAAATATCTAATAAAAATAACTATAAGAAATAATGTTTTTTCTGAACTAGGTACATCGTACATAACACCCGTATTAACTAATATTAACCCGAATAATAACGGTTATTAACACCTAAAAGTTTGTTTGAATTTTTTATTCTGCTGTTTGAACACCTTAATACTTGCAGCACTCAAAACCCGAAACCCAAATAATGATTCGGGTACAAAGCCCTGGTTTATTATGAATACACTGTAGTATTCTGCATTTCCTTTAATAAATGGTATGAGGCGTACAAAAAACGTAAAAATTACTACGACTACTAAAATGCACCAGGAAAAAGTAAAAAAAAGTTCAGCAATTGTCTATACAAGGTTGACCGATAATCTTCAATGGAATCATCGCCAATATTGGAAGCTATATATAGTTCCAATAAGGTTCAAAATACGTCTAACACAAAATAAACACAATAACATATAAAAATAATCTGAATATGACGTGTGTGAAGTTGGCCCACCCACATAATAGGATTTACTTTATAGTAACAACAGCATTTTGCAAGTTATTTGCTAGAACTTGCAAAGCACATTTTTAGAACTTGCAAGTAACTGGTTTTTGAGTTATTGAATGGTGGGCCAAATGCACTTAGCCCACTCGAATTATCCGAAACAGTCCAAATCGATAAAAAACGACAGCTTTTGATTTGAAAGAACTTGCAAATTCTAAAAATGTGCTTGCAAAATATTGTTGTTACTATGAAGTAAATCCTATTATGTGGGTGCGCCAACTTCACACACGTCCAAATATGAGTAACTTTTTCAATAACAATAAACCTGTTAATAACACTGCTGAATAGTTCTTGAATAACATTCCACAAATCAGCAAAAAAAAAAATAATAATAATAATAATAATAATAATAGGTAGGTAACTAAAACTTCTGTTAATTTCAAGTATTGTGTTAGAACATAGGTACCTATGTTAATAAAGCAACTACCAACTTGTCCAGAAAGTCCGAATAAAGTATCACAAGACTCAGAATTTACTACAAGAAAATATCAGAAAGTATATCACACAGTTTTTTAATGCCAAATCATGAAGGCCTAATATATATACTTCTCTCACGGTATTTATATGAATTACGAACAGAACTAAACATACGTTCATCAAATGACACCCGTATTCGCAAGAGAGAGACAATTTTAAACTTCCAGAATCACTGGCCTAATCATTTAATCAGGAACCTGATATATCCACATCACCATCAAATACATAGTTGCCGACAATATTTACTCATAAATTTTAATATATTTTAACTCTGTGTATGCATTTTTATGTAATTCGTAATTGAATAAATAAATATATTATATAAACCCCTCTCGCAATGTCCACTGCTGCTGAGAGTTATTTAAAAAAAATTATGATACAAAAAAAATTCAAAGTTATAAGTATCGTCTAAATTTTTTTCACAAATATTTTTAATAAAATACTAATACAATAGAAAATAGCTTTAAATTTATAACAAACCAAAAATGTGTCAATTATATAGTTAATGTACAATGTACATAATATATATATATGTATGTATATAATAGTATACATAAAATTTGTTGCCGTACGTAGTGTACCTATGAATAATATTAAAACTTATTGAAACATAGTAATAATCTTTAAAACGGTTCATCGGAAAGGGTTACAGAACAATGTACAATACTGAAGTATCGGTTTTTTCAACTCAGAATTAGATGATATTATTGATTCGACATCGTTAATTTTTATTTTGAAATATATTATTATTATTTATCCATACTCACTCAAGTGCGTTTAATAAATCGTCAAACAATAATAAATATTTTATTAAGTTTTACGAATTATAAAAACATTATTATGCTTTCTTAATGAATGGAGTAATAGATTATGAAATATTCATACGAAAACCGCGTTCAATTGGTGACTGGTGTAGTGGTGTTTACTATTTAATCAGTTGAAACTTGAAAGACATAATTTCGTTGCAAATTAATATTTAATTATGTATGTGAACAGCATAAAATGTGCAAGTATGACAATTAATACATTTCTTTTTTTATTTGTATAACTTAATTATAAATTCCGTTTATTTTCTTCAAAGTACAAATAATCACATCTAGTGTAACATTGTATATTATAATTTGCATTTAATCATTTTATAGTCATTATATATATATATATATTATATATGTATATTTTGTTTCCATTATTAGTTTGAATAATGACGAAGAGTTATTTTTATTCTGACGAGCGTTTTTTATGAAAAACTTTATCATGGATCAGCAAAGAAAAGCTCAATGCTTTTTAGAAAATATTTTAATTGAAAAATATATTTTGATTTAAAACAAAAATAAAAAAAATACACTAGACAGGAGAAGTGAATCGATGAATAAAAAAAAAATTAAAAGTTAAGTATGAAGTAGCTTAAAAAATTATTCTAGACCGTTAGGATAAAAAAAGTTTAAGAAAAAATGATAGTAAAAAACCAAAAAAGTAAGATGAATTAAATATTACGAACAAAAATATATTAAAATATAATAACTCACAAATGACTGATTTGAGAATCTTAACCCATGTAATGAATATATCAGATAACAGTTTCTTACTTGTTAGTAGATACTGGATACTGAACCAAAATAAACAAGTTCATACGGGGAAAAAACGAATTTTTGAACACGAGTTCGGTTAAATTTAAACCAAATAAACTTATATTGTATACAAATTAGCTCATATAAAATATCATAATATACCTACTATTATATTTCACAAACTTTTCATGGTTCGTCGAGTTTCAAGATGTACATGTCAACTATTGTCTAGTTAAGTCAGTTATGATTATTTTGCCACTGCTTAAGTAAAAAAGTGATATTTCGGAATATCAACCAATCCAAAAAGAACCGGTTCTGAAACCCAAAAACCCTAAATATATTAGGAACCAGAACCTAAGTGGAACAGAATTAAAATTAAAAATTTCGAAAAACCCGAACCAGAACCATAACCCTATAATAAAATTAATTAAGTACCCACTGGTACCAGAACCGTAA